AAGCAGTTATTAATTATTTTACTACAGAGATTTATTTCTGATCTGATTTCTTCTTTATGTTTCTGCATTTGATTCTTTACTTCCAACGCTATTCAGAGATTTCTTTATTCATTTCAGAGGTTTTTTCTGATCTGAGTTCCTCCATACCTTTCTGCAGTTGTTTCTGTACGTCAGATGCTATTGATTCAGACATTTCAGTTGTGTGATTCCCAATTTCTTCTGTGCTAGCGTCCTCTGCACTTGTTTTGGTTGGGTTTGGGGCCTGAGATTGCATTTTGCTCCTTCTCTTTGTCATTTTGTATACTATCCTCTGACCTTTGGTATAGAGCTTTGGTGCAGTTACAACCTTAGCACCTACTGAAATTTGGGTGCAGATCTAAGAAATTTGAGTTCATCCAGTTGTGCCTGGCTTGGTTCTAGCTGTTGTGCTCAGCTCCTTCCTGCTGCAGCCCTTGGAAGTAAACCTGTTGTACTCCTCTGGGAAGTTGTTCTGCTCCTGGATTAGTTGAGTGGTTCTGGACCCTAGTCTCTCTGCGGGGACTTCAGCTGCACTTTCACCCCAGGCCCATGTGACAGTCCTGGTCTGGGTCTGGAGTGGTCCAGGGGATGCAGGGGAGCACAGAAGCTCTCCCACATACTTGCGGGGCCTGGGATTTGTCTAGGTCTGGGAGGGGTTCCGAGAGTGTGGCAGAAGTTCTCACTCACTCAGCGGCCTTGGCGGGACTCCGGAATGATGGAGGGGTCCCAAGAGCATGGCAGAGGGTCTCACTGATGCTGTGTGCCTGGGCTTGATCCGGAAAGGTCCAGTGGATGCAGGGGAGGAAGCTCTCCCACAGACTCGCCAGGCTTGGGTTTGGGCTGGGTCGGGGGTTCCTGAGAGCATGGCAGAATTTCTTGCTCACTCAGAGGGCTTGAGGGGGCACTGGGTGGATGAAGGGGTCCCAAGAGCGTGGCAGAGGGTCTCACTCATGCGGCGTGCCTGGGCTTGTTCCAGAGAGGTCCAGCGGGTGCAGGGGAAATCAAAAATTTTACAGCAGTTAAAATTACTTCCTGTGAAATTTCCACTTCATTCTGTGCCTTTCTTTGTTATATTCATGCTTGTACTTACAAACATGGAGATTCTCCAGCTATGATTCAAGCAACAATTCCACAATATGTGTGTTACATAACAATAACTCGGCTTCTGGGAACCCTCCTATTGCCGTATTGGTTATTGTCTGATTTTCATTGTACAGTAGATATGTGATATGAGTCACCCCAGGGATCTCACAGGACCTGAGACAGCCAGAAGGAAACCTACAAGCTCTTTGAAAACTTGCCAAAAATTGTGTTTTCACAGCAACCAGTATGACTATCTTAGTCCACCTCATTTCTGTACCACAAGGACAGTGATGGCAAGCCAATGGCATGCATGTGGCATTGGGCTCTACAACACTGAAAGCTCTAAAAGGCTCACTGTCACTGCACTAGTGGGTGACATCCATTACATTGCATCTGCACCATGGGTCAAGCTGTTTCAGACATCTAGACTTCATTTTCTCCAACTTTCGAAAAGGAAAAAGAAATAAATATAGCCCTCTGTACATTCACCTTACCTACATATTAGAAATATACTATGTATGGATATATGCTTCTTCTAGGTTGTTTTTGTGCATATCTTTCTACTGAACATTTACATATTCCAGCCACCTGAAAACAACCACAGTTGAGTTCTGTTTGGTGGGCATAATCCTGTGCTGCCTGGCTGCAAGCCTGTGCCGTGCCCTCCTCAGCACTTCCTGATCAAGCCTCGTGCTCTTCCTGGCGCCAACATGCACTTCTTAAAGCACCGTTGTTTATCACATTTTCCTTGTGTAAAATAGGTTCTCCATAGGTTACACAAAACTGAGGGGCCATTGGTTTCTTTAGGAACTGCCTCGGGTATCAGCTTCTTTGGAATGTTCTCAGATTCTCTTTCCTCGGCCTCCAAGCTCTGTGCACTCCTTTCCTCTGCCCCTTGGTCTGTGCTGTGATGGCCTCATTTCTGCATCTGGCAGGGCTGCTGGCTCCACGAGGGTAAGGATGCAGGTGTCTTTTAGCAGTGCCTGGCACCTTCTCGAAGTACTCTGAAGGCTGTGGAATTAAGCCACTAAATAGGCTCAGCCTTCCCACTCTACCCATTGCTGTTTAGTTCCCCTGTATTCCACAGTTGTGTGTGTCATTCTGATGGTATCACTGTCTTGGAGTAGTTGTTCTAGTTTGTATCAGATTTTGCAAAATGACATTCTTTTATATAGAATTAAAAGGTCATGGTCTTCCTCGAAACATGTTAATCTCACATTCTTAGTCTTGACAAGTTTATTATGTCCTTCATGGAAACTAAAGATTGAGATGGCCCTTTGATCTTGGACCCACACTACAAACAACTGTAGAGATTTTGTATATCATTCTAAAGCCCAAGTGAAGCACACTAAGATGCCTAAAAGTAAAATGTAGAGGTAGAGGACAGTAGTAGAGCTGCCTGTTCAGCTCTGTCTTCCTTCTCTAGTGTCTGGCCATTGTTAAACTGTAGGTATTTTGAGATTTGTATAAATAGAATGAGTTCCTGTTACCTTCAGTTAAAAAATTCTTTTAAGTTATCTTAAAGCCATCCAAAAGCTTCACAAATAATGTAGCAAGCAAAGGAAGTACTGGCCAGTTTTACCTCTTTAATTTGGATTTAAATAGAAGAAAGAAAAAAGGAAAGAAAAAACTAAAGGTGAAAGCTATAACCTAGGAGGAAAGTTTAATAGGAGGGTAAGTCTCATATCTGAAATGGTCATGTGTCATCATAGATTAAGAAAAAGACATGTCTCCCAAATAAGGTTTTATTTGCATTTTGAGAAACTACCCACATTGTACTCACTATTCTATGATTAAGTTGGGAATTTACATCTTCTTAGAATTTTAATAAGATGGCTATTTTAAGCCTTGTATAGAGTAACATGCCCTTAGTCTGTTTCTCTACCCTTTTCCTTATTGAATAGAAGACCAACAAATATGTGCAATAATAGCCTTCAATTGTTTATCCTTATGGCAGGTCCTGAGTTAGGAATCCAAAGATCTGTAAGCTAAGGTCCTCACTTTAAAGGAATGTCCAAGCTCTCTGGGGTAAGAAGTAAATAAGAGATGTTGCGGGTCTGGTTCTCAACTGAATGGGCCTTCTGTGATGGCAGAGGCTGTGGATCACAGGAAAAGAAGCAACTGTTGATTTTATTATACAGTTCTCCATGCAGATGTGGGTAATAAGAGGATATCTGTGGAGATCGTCATATTGATAAAATCTTACATGTGATGACTGCTGCCTGTTCAATTCAGCCTGTCTTAGTCACAGAGAACACTGTGTAGAAAAACAACTGAAGTAGGGAACTCTCCCTATCTATGGCTTTATTTTGATATGAACTGTTCCTTAAATCTTTTTCTGGGTTCTTTAATTATATGGCTTTCTGGGTCTTCATAGTCCTGAGTTTGTCGGTTTTTCTCACTTGATTTGGACAGTTCTTATCCACACAGTTTTGCTGATCAGAATAAAACACGCATGCATGCACGCATGCACGCACACAGCTTGGCTAGCCTTGAGTGTTGTGTTTATTCTCATTACTCTCATGATCATGGGAATAGGTTTTCTGCAATAGAGTCTTCTGCTGGAAGTATTTGAAGAGGAGTCTTAAGAATGCAGTATGACAGCTGGTGATACATGCACCTTTAATTCTATGTGAGCGGATAGCCTGTGTAAAATGCGTACATGTCCTTTAAGAAGAAAAGAAAGAAAAGGAGGACTAGATTACTTGGGTTCTGCTGCACCTATGTCATCTCAGCCATTATCTCATTTATCTTGGATGGCCACCTGAGGGAGTGCGTGTTATTTTTACCATTATACAGAGAAGGGAAATGATGCTCAGAAGGTTAAGGAAGCTGCCTGGGGCTACCCATGAGGATATAAGACCTGAACTAAGGTGCTCAGACTTGAAGCCTAACCCACGTAAACACTAGCTCAAGCACTTTCCTTATCACACTTCCGCTGCCCCTGAACTCCAGGTGCAAATGTAAGCCAGGGACTTCTAAGTCCAAGGTCACACCTCTCTGTATTTTACTCTTGCTCTAAATCGCTTGTCCTGGCTTCCTGCAGTCAGTGTGATTTATTATCCAGCATCCCAACTCATCCAGAATAGATCAGTGCTTTTGTAGAGCCTGGAGTATGACAAATAGTCCCTCCGTTGACTCGACTTAAACATTTGTAAAGCAGCTGATTTTATGTAACAGAATTCTAATCAGATTTCTTCTGCAACACTTTTGTTAAATCTAGCATTCCTGCATAAGTATAAGAAGCACTGCATTAAATAAAAAGCATGCTTCTTTTTCAAAGAACATAACTTTTTAGAGCAAATCATTCCTAGGCATCTTTAAGAAGACAACAGAATTATGATCAGAAAACTCTTGGAAAGCTGGTAATCACTATGATGAAAGTGACCATTACATATACATAAATTATACTAATAAACTTAATTAAAATATTTGTTAATGTCTTACAAGATATTGCTGGAAAATGCAGTTAAATATGTTAACCTACTTATTATTTCTATTTTAGCAAGTTGATTTTCACAATAGCAGTCTATTTAGAAGTAATGTGATATAAGTACAAACCTTACTTATAAAGAATCTATTATTTCTGAATGAACTATGACCAAGGTAGAATTCTAAGCATAACAAAACGTATGTCTAGCACTCTATATTTTTAAATGAGAAATATGTGTTAAAATACATTTTGTTGTAAGTTATCTCCTGTTCAGTTTAAGAGTCAAGGAAACCTCCACTTACAATGTATAATCTGGATTTTCCATTTATTTTTATCTCTTGCATTTTCCTGCTGTCACTTCACTTATTATACTATATGCTGTAAGCTTATTTTAGTTGCTTCACTTAGAATTTTGTTATAAAAATTGCTTCTTATGATGCTAACAACACTTTCACTGAATTTTTAGGAAACTGATGTGGTACCAGACACCAGGCTTTTGGACAAATTTGCTCAGATTACACCTCATCTCTTTACCCCACTAGATGGGGCCATCCAGGAGCCACCACTGGAGACTTTGTGCATCATGGACTTCTTCATTGCTCTGGCAATTTGCAACACAGTAGTAGTCTCTGCTCCTAACCAACCAAGACAAAAGGTAAAGTCTCTCATGCAAACAAGGATCAGCAGCGCAGAAAAGAACCATGGGTGGCCCTGTATATACTCTGGTCTTGTTATGTTACAGTGACAGATAGTAGTGGCACCTGACAACAGCATGTGTTTAACATATATCAGAACCTATTATTTGCCCTGCACTTACATGTTCTAAATAATTTACTGATATAAATTTGGTTAATTCTCCCAAAGCCTCTGAGAGCTGCCTATTCTTTCTCTACTCTTCCCCATATTACAGATGATTTTAATTTACCTAGGGTCACAATACTAGTTTTGGGAGGAGGTGAGATTTGAACCTAGGGAATATGGCTTAAAGTTACAACATGAGTTGCGAATTAGAACATTCATTTTGTTTCTTGTTCCTTACCAAATGGAAATTTCTAAGACCACCAGCATTTTACATACAACATCAAACAAAATATAAAATACATTTGGTTCACTGTCATGTTTGATGATAAAATACATTTTCATGTGCCAGTTAGATTTGTTTTAATTCAGTCAATCTGAAATTCATTATAATATACAAAAATTCTTCAGATGTTATAAAACCTGGGATTTGGGTTTTTGTGTTTTATTTTTTATTAATTTTAATGAGAAATAGCAAAGAGATAGTTCCAAAACAGGTTAGTAGGACTGTTACAATAATTAATACGTTTTGTATTGCTGTCTTCATAGTAGTTATTCAGAGTACAAGATGCAGACATGATATGTTGTCTAAACACTATTAGTACAAATCTTTCTTCTTATTGAACTAAGAGAAAGTAGCTATGTATCTATCCTAACTATTTTTATATATGCATACATATTTTTTTCACTACAAAATGGTCTTTCATTTATATCTCCCTTTTTTGTTTAGTTTTGTCACAGATGAGTGTTCCATTGCCATTCAAATATTGTAGGTGCATGAATTCAGTAAAACAACACAATATAGTCAAATAGTCCATAATAGTAGTGGGTTATCAGCAGAACTGGCAATGTCAGAAGTTGTTGACTAGAGCCTTTTACATCTCAAAATATTAATATGACTTTACTTTTTGTACCTCATGGTTATACTTTTCTGCTGGATGGTTAAGACCAAGATAAAGCAAGGACTGTATAACAAAAAATGTAACTTTTGTGTCTGACAAGGTCAGTCAGATCCCCTCAGGATTTACCCTGAAACCATATACAGCAAAAACCTGGGATTTGAAATTCTGTTATTGTCTTAGAATTCATGGAGAATTCATTTCTCATTAACAAAATGACTTGGTTTAGCTGCCGGTGATTCACCACTTGGCTTTGCTAGCTTTCTTGTATATAACTCTTTCCACACAGCTACTTAAAATTCAGTTTGCTTCACAACTCAATTAAAATTTAATTTTCCATCACATCATTTTCTTTTGGCAACTTCAGAGATGATCAACTTTAACCTAGAAGTAATTTCCTTCCAATTATGATACATTTGATCTGCAACTGTATTTTTATAAGGCTTTGCCTTGAAAGTTGTTTTTTGAAAAATGATTATATAGTTAGAAGATAAGTCACTAGACGTTTTTGTTTCCCGTAACATTTTTTTCTCTTATGTATCTGTTTCCAAGTTGGCATCTGTGTAAGAAATATTGTTTCCCTCATTCTCAAATAATGTGATATTCCACTATCAGAAAATCTCTATGGCACATGGGAACAAAGACTTCATGGTATTTCTTTTCTTTTTCTTTTTATAAAAAATTTGAAATTAAAAAAAAATCTTTATTTATTTGCTGCATGGTCTTGCTACATAGCTATGACGCGTAGTGATCCTCCTGTCTCAGTGTCCCCAGTGCTGGGATTATAGGCGTGCACCCCAACACCCATGTTGGGGGAGGCAGAGTGCTCCTGGGGTTCTAGGATGGCATGGTGTCTGATACTGGGGATCAAACCTGGGTCCTTGCGCTTGCAGGCAGGCTCCCCGACCACCAAGCTATCTCACCAGCTCTGGTATTTCAAGATGATGGCAGAAGGGCTGTTTAGAGGGGCTGATCAGAATTCATATGCAATATAAAAGTCTTCTCTGTGATTAGGCTTTATTCTTCTTACTCTGAGTTGCCAGTGATTTCAAAAATTGACCCACGAGGGCCGGGGAGATGGCTCAGTGGAATAAGCGCTTACCTCGCAAGCGCAAGGGCCTGAGTTCAATCCCTGGTTCCACAAAAAAAAAAAAAAAAAAAAAAAAAATTGACCCATGAGACCCTCAAACTATCATAAAGGTAGTAATTTTTAAGGGAAAACTTTTTAATTCCCCAGACACTTCTGAATGAGAAAAGTTTATAATCCAAATAATTGATTGTCCATGATTAGTATTAAATTCCAGGTTTAATCAGTGATAAAGAAAATAGATCTAGGCAAGACATGGTCTTTAAAAAGAAAGGGCAAGGGACTAGGGCGGCAGCTAAGTGCAGAGACTGTGGTTTTGCTCCTTTGGCACCCGCGAGCGTGCATGTGTGCACACACATGCACACACACATCCCTAAAACCAGGGTACAAATAAGAAAAGGGTCTACAAAATAGAAAGCCTAAAGCATGTTATGATACTGATGATACTAATAGCTATTCGTCCTTAAGCTTCCTTTCCTTACTGGCCTTTTTCTTTTAAGTAAAAATATCTTTTGTAGAATCTGGAAAGTAAAAGAAAAAACTTTATTTTGTTAAGCTTTTGGGTTTTTTTCTTCCAGTGTTTTTACTATGGATATTGTTTATTTGGTTTTGTATTTTTCATACTGTTCACTTAGCTTTTCTAGTATCAATCCTTGGTCTTTACATAAATAACGTATATATTGCGCTCTTCTTACTTTTTGTTGAATACATGATTTGCTTATCATTTTTAAATTGTTATTACAAGGAGACACACAACATCATGGATTTTATCTTGAATTATTTCTTAAATTTGTTTTTAAATTTATTTATTTGATACAGGGTCTCATTATGCAGTTCAGCCTGGTAGTGATCCTCCTGTCTCAGCCTCCCCAGCCCTGGGAGTACAGGCATGCACCACCATGCCCAGTTCTGGCATGTAGTACTGGCAGTCAAACCTGGGTCTTTGCACTTGCTAGGCAGGCACTTAGACCCCTGAGCTATCTCTCCAGCCCTATCTTGAAGTATTTCTATAGGAAAGATTGTTATGAGTGTGCTTGTGCTAGCATGTTACATTTTTTGCTATCAGTTATCAAAATCCTTCCCAAATGACTGTAGGAATTTATAATATCATTACTTTCAGCACATTCTTTCCCATAGAGGCTTTTATTTCTATTCATATTTTCTGTAGCAGTCGTAAGAAAAGAGTAGGCTGCTAACTGTTTAAGGGAGTGGTAACCTGTCTTAGCTTTTTCCAGTTGGACTTCAAAGTTGTTATAAGTTGGCTTGAGCTTTACTGTTGAATCTTTTCTAAATTATCTTTTCTAGATCAGGCTTTCTTCACTGAGTGGAACACCCATTAAGTCCTTGGAGGAGATTAAAAACCTCTTCCAAAGACTGTCTGCCCGAAGGTCAAGTTCACCGTCCCTTGCCAGTGGGAAGGACTTGCCATCGGGGATCCCCGGCACCTTTGTGAGCAGACTCCCTCTTTTCAGTCGGATGAAGCTCACTTCACCTGTGGAGGAGGCGGCCTCAGGGATGCATGAGAGCCTACAGGGCTGTAGTGACACCGCTGGCTGTACAGAGACTGAGAAACCCGGCAGCAGTGCAGGCCTCCCAGATGGCAAGGTGGACTCCCTCCCCAGAGCGTGCCTGGCCTCCAGCCTGTGTTACGAGGCCGAGAGCCCAGATGAAGCAGCCTTGGTGTATGCCGCCAGGGCTTACCGATGCACTTTACAGTCTCGGACGCCAGAGCAGGTTGTGGTGGACCTTGCTGCCTTGGGACCATTAACATTTCAGCTCTTACACATCCTGCCCTTCGACTCAGTAAGAAAAAGAATGTCTGTTGTTGTCCGGCACCCCCTTTCCAATGAAGTCGTGGTGTACACCAAGGGTGCCGATTCTGTAATCATGGAGTTGCTCTCAGTGGCTTCCCCAGGTGGGTTCAAATAGAGCTCAGAGATTGAAAAGCTGCTTGCAGTGCTTGGATAAGCACAAAGAAGCAAGTATGTGCAAGTTATGTATACCTGATAAAGTAGAGCGGAGGTGCCCGGGACTTGGCGGGAAGGCAGACTGAGTCCAGCGTGGCCTGCATCATGAGCTGTGTCTTGCTAGTTCCTTGCCTGCTCTCTGCCTAAGTCTTCATTAGAACAGGAACCTCTTCCTCCAGGACCGCCTTGTCCTGAGAGGCTGATGATGCTCGGTATGCACTAGCTTTGTGGGCCACTTTTGGCCAAGTGTTTAACAAATGGAAAGTGCTCAGTGGGAGCCGGCCATCGTCATCACAGGCCTGTTACTGTTCAGCTGATGGAGTAGGGGCAGTGTGTGGATCACGAGTTTGGTACTTTGCCCAGGAGAAAAAATTTAAGGGGGAAATGTAGTCTGAGTGTTTCCTTTTATAGATACACATTTGGGACTCAAAGCTGGAATGGCTTTCGTTTATTATGTATTAGACTGTCATTGCTTTTTAAAAATCTGACTGTAATTGGGGAAACTGGTAGGAAAAATAGTATCTTGCTCATTATTTCAGATGGAGCAAATCTGGAGAAACAGCAAATGATAATAAGAGAGAAAACCCAGAAACACTTGGATGACTATGCCAAGCGAGGATTGCGTACTTTATGTATAGCTAAGAAGGTGAGGCTGCTTGGTACACCTTACCTTGTTTTGTTCCTTTCCTTGTTTAGCCATTTAATGGAAACTACTATGTACCAAACCCCAACCTAAGTACTGGGGAAAGTCTTTAAACTGCTGAGTCTCTTCTGCGGCCTCTCCATTCCATATATTGGTTGGTTGAATTGTATTTCCAGTGTCCTGCCAGTGTTCTCCGAGTTCTCACATTCTTCACTATATCTGCAAAAGCTTTCGAATATAAATAGCTTCATCCTGAGTCACAATACGGGGAGCCTGCTTTCTTTCCTTTGTGATTTTGTAACTATTATCCCCACTCTCTTACAGCACTAAATGTGCTCTGGAAAGATTGAGGTCAGAGACCAGCCTTAATTTAACTTGCATAGGTTCTAGATAATTTTGTTAGTGCCCATGAGTATCTGAATCTAGGTAAATCTATTAGATTTTTATGTCACTACTAATTATTATCTATTAAGAAGAATATTGGGAAATAATGTACTCTTCCTGAATTAAATCTTAATGAGAAAGAAGAGCTCCAAGAAATTATTTGAGAGATGTCTTTACCAGAAACTCATTTCCCATTCAAATCCTACTCCTAGGGGCTATTCTGGGGAAACCAAAGCAAGTAGATGGCTTGTCTTCTAGTTCTTTCTTCTTCCTATCGTAGGTCATGAGTGACACTGAATATGCAGAGTGGCTGAGGGATCACTTTTTGGCTGAAACCAGTATTGACAACAGGGAAGAATTACTCGTTGAATCTGCTATGAGACTGGAGAACAAGCTAACATTACTTGGTAGGTGGTGTATGCTGCATCGCCTGAAGGCAGAATTTTGAAAACACTGATGTCTGTGGCATTCACGAGTGCCTCCCCCTCCCAAGTTTGAGCTAATAAATATACGTGGGTCTGCTATCCTAATGCAATCTATACCCAGCTTCCAATCCATTCTATTTTGTTTTCCTCTGTAGTGAACTAGATTTCACTTGTGGTGGGATTGGGACGGTCATTCTTAAGAAACTCATATAAAACATCAGCACCTAACACAGAGTACACAGCCTGGCATAAGAGAACAAAGTTAAAGTTTCTTTCTAGGAAGCATACAATGTACTTACTATGCATTGTCTTTTAAAATTCTCATAACAAATTTCCATCTTATTTAGAAGAAACAGGGCCCAGAGTTCAGTGACTTCCTTAATTCACCTACTAGTGATTAATAGTAACTAACAAAACATGACACTCGGGGCTGCCTGGATCAAGGGTCCATGCTCTGCACCTTTAACTGGTCTATGAAAATTTCTTTCTCTTCTCTAACTTTCTGATTTCAAGCCAGGTTCAAGCTGACACCACTTATGAACTTCATCAGGAGTCATCTAAAGAGTGCTAAACAATAACAATCTCAAACACAATTTGTTAAAAGCACACAACTTCTGATGTTAAACAGTATCAATGCCTGTATCCCATCCCCAGGGATTCTGATTCATGTCGTTTCTTGTATGCCCTGGGCATCAGAATTGTTGAGAGCTTCCTAAGTAATTCTGAGAGCAGTCAACTTTGAGAACCACAACTTTAAAAATGGATACAGAAGGGCTGGCGAAATAGCTCAGTGGACTAAGTGCCTCCTTGGGCAAGCACAGGGGCTGGGGTTCAATACCTGGCACCCCATGCTGCACCAGCGCTGTCCCCAGGCATGCTGAGCTGGCAACTGAGTGCAGGCGTGGTGGTGCATGCCTATAATCTCAGCACTGGGGAGGCTGAAAACAGGAGGACCACTGTGAGTCCAAGCTGTATAGTGAGAGCCTGTATCAGATACATTTTTAAAAAAAACTAAATATGGATACAAAGATCCTAATAAATGTACCAATATACCAAGAGACCAGCTTCTAGGCTTCATTCCTTTATTTAGGAGCAAAACCGTAATATCACTTAATATGCATCAAATAGAATAATGACACCTCCTCCTGAGGGTCACATTTCCTCATCAGCAGTTCCTGAAGCAAAAATGTATCATGAGTTTAATGCCAGAACTCAGTTGGCAACAAAAATCAGTCCTGACTTAATGTAGCACTATTTATAATATGTTATCCTAACTAGCACAAAACTTCGCTAGTGTTCACATACATATATTAGTGTGTTTAATTAACAGGTATTATGAAATAACATACAGGTCCCATATTATCTTTTCAAAATATTAAGACATTTTTAATTCCGAAGTACACATGGCACCACTTATTTCTGAGATGGACTTGTACTGTGAAGAAGCATTGCAGGTAGGCATTATATCTCATTTGTGACAGCATGCTTTAAAAGCCTTTCCTTATACTTGGAAGTATCACAGAATTACAAAATTCATAGGATAAGCTTACACAAATAATTGAGTCAGATGCTTCAATTTATAGATGTGAAAGCTAGACAGAAGAACAAGTAAGATTGCTAGATACATCGATCCCTGGTACTTCCCTCCCAAAACACTACTTTGTGTATGACTTTCGTCTGGGTCTCTATGCCTTGTTTGGATTTCTGCAGTCTACTAGCATAGTGTGTATAGCTCAGGATCAAACTGGCCAAGGCGGGGAACCAGTTATAGAGCAGATGAGCTTCAGCTCACTTTGGTTTTATGGGAGTCTTGTTGCAACCGGGTTATTCCTTTAGGTGCCACTGGCATTGAAGACCGGCTGCAGGAGGGAGTCCCTGAGTCGATAGAAGCTCTTCGCAAAGCTGGAATCAAGATCTGGATGCTGACAGGAGATAAACAGGAGACAGCTATCAACATAGCCTATGCATGCAAGCTGCTGGAGGCAGACAACAAGCTCTTTATCCTTAATTCCCAAAGTAAAGTACGTACAATGGGACCGAGCCAATTGTTTGTTTTTCAAAGTGAATGACACATTTGGAATTTAATTTATAGAAGGAGAAAGCAAAGCTGCTAACCTTTAGTTTCTTGATATTTATTCTCTCCAGAGACCTAGCTCAGATTTGAGAGGATGCTACGGTTTTTCTAAGGCCTTGGTGGGAAATCATATTGAGTCGGAGGAATCATTGCTAAATAAAATCATTAGAAGAAAGATTCCTTCTTTTTAAAATTTGTTTTCCCATCCACACTGGATTATCCAAGATTTGACAAGACAACCCAAAATTACAAAATATATCAAGTCTTGAGACAGGAATCTACCTCCCTTTCAAGTTGAGGATGAGTGATAATTTCTATTGGAATCAGGTAAATTACTGTTTGTTACTTATAAAAAAGCTCTCAGCATGATTTTGCCCTCTAGTGGTAAATCTTAAGCAGTGCTTGTGAGTGCAGAAAAGAAAAAAAGTTTTTAAATAAGAAAGTTTAGAGGTTTAGACCCAGTTTATCTTCCCTATATTTCCCTCCCCCTAAATTCTAGCACCAAAGTTCCAAGGACTTCAATGGGTATTTCATGGTTTTCCAGAAGATTCCTTGTACAGTGAGACCCTCCATGATTTGTGCATATTATTTATTGTGCTTAGGAAGCTTTCCTCCTCCCTCATCCACAGTGAGACTTAGCCAGTGGCATCATTGCATCACAGCAGCTTGTCACCTCTAAAAGCTTCTGAAGTGGCCCTTTGGGTTGACATCTTCAGCCCGTGTCTCAGGCTGCCACCTTGGGCTAGTGGTACATTTATGATCAGGCCTCCAGTAACACTAAGGCACGTCACACATCTGGAAGAAGGAGAGTCTTCCTAACACACAGTAGGTTCTCCTCCATAGCTGGCTGTGGCCTAGGCACCCACCACCACGAGCCAGCCCCCAGGACTTGCAGGGGCTAAGTCCCAGAAAATTCCAGTCATTTTACTCAAAAAAGATGTTGCCCAAGTAGGTGCAAAATCAGGGTCCGAGTGCTTGGCCTGCCTCTGACCAGCCATGTGACCGTGGTGCATGGCCTCCTCCTCCCTCCTCTTCCTTACCTGAGATGTGGGAGCGATGCCAGTGTCTGGGATTGCTGTGGGTATTAACAGTAAGAAAATATAAATTGCTGAGGGGTTCAGTGAACATGAAATAAAGGAACAGTAATCAGTTATTGGTGTTTAATTTTGGCTTAGAGAGTTTTTTTAACATGAAGTTTTAATTTTGTCTTGATTATTACGGTAACACATGATTATGATGAAATGTTCAAACAATATAGAAAGCTACAGAGAAGAAGATAAAATAATGAGTTTCCCTAAGAGAAAATCTCTCTTGACATTGTAAGCACTCTTGCAGATGATTCCTGAGATAGGCACAGTATCGTATTCCTGGGGACACTGGCAGGGAAATGTTAATTGTACTTGTGACAAGACACTGGGAGCTCTGTCATGAAGAGCAGGGCATGACCTGACCTAGCCCTAAAGCCACCCTCCTCATCTAAGGATCATTTTGTCCCCACACAGGGCCAATCTTGACAACATCTGGGGACATTTTGATCATCACAACTAGTATCTAGGGAGTCTAGGGAGTAGGACCTAAAGATGCATGTACTTATTACACAGGACAGTACCCAAGAACCAAGGATTACCTGGTCCAAATGTCAGTAACAGCAAAATTAGAAGTCCCTGCTATAGACTGGTTCATCTCTAGGAAATCAATATAGGAGGGTGAGTCAGCTGGTGCACACTGGCATAACTTGCCTATTGTTAAACTTTTTAAATAGCTCATACCAGTTTGCTCTTTTTGTCTTTCTTTTACTCCTTTTTTTTGCATTTTAGTTGATAGGTTTTTTAAGTTAAACTTCCATATTAACTGATATCTAAAAATATTACCATGCTACACAATATTTCTAGACATGTTTACATTATGTAAAGTTTAAATCAGGTTATGCATACGTATCTTTTCAAATGTGTATCATTTCCGCATGACAGGAACTTGAAATTCTTCCAGGCTTTTGAGAGGTGCAATACACATTATGTACACTGGCATAGAAATTTCTGTGAAGAGTAAAATTAGTGATAATATGAAGTTTATTTATAAACATCCATCTTATGCTGGAAACCTTTAAAATTATCAATTCCAGAAATCTTTACTGAATGTTTACTGTCGCCAATACTCTCTGCTGTTAGTAGCCATTCCACGTTGTGTTCACAGTTTCAGCAGTAGGATGTGGGCTCAGGTGTGTCCCTACTCCTCATGCACATCCTGCATTCACAGGAGCACTCTGTGGAAGAGGTCTCTTCTTTGGGAAGCAGCCCCCTAGAACCTCCCCAGGTGGCCCCACCCAGCAGTTGCTAGCACAGGACAGGGAACATTTCAGCCGGCTCTCCACTAGAAGCCCAAGGCTAACCATCTTTGCCTCTCGTTACAAGGATGCCTGCGAGGTGCAGATGAGCATAATTTTGAAAGAACTTCAGAAGCAAGTTCCAGCTTCTCCAGACCAGGCATGGATAAGAAAGGGCTCCGCTCAGCCTGCTGTCATTCGAGACTCTGGGCAACAGGCTGGACTTGTTATCACTGGGAAGGCCCTTGAATTTGTCCTGCAGGAGAGCCTGCAGAGGCAGTTCCTGGAGCTGACTGCTTGGAGCCACACGGTGGTCTGCTGCCAGGCCACGCCCCTGCAGAAGAGCGAGGTGGTAAAGCTGGTGCGCAGCCATCTCCAGGTGATGACTCTGGCCATTGGTAAGTCGGTGCAGTGTGACTGAGCCCTGGCTTCTCCCTCTCACATATCAGAAGCAGGTCTTTCTGTCTGTCCTTCTGTTTACAACTGTATCTTCCCCCTGTAACACCATTTTCTCTCCCTTTCCTCCCTCCTTTCTCCCCACATCCCTTTTCTACTTCTGCCTTTCTTTTCATCTCTTATTTGACTGTCTGCAATGAATCAGGAGTTAGTACTGTGAAGTGGAACACACAGCCTGGGTTTTTGGGCTACATGTCAGGCTTCCAGATCAGCTGGGTTAAGTAGAGTGAAATACTGTATCACAGAACTGAAAAACCCAGGATTCTACAAAATGAAATTCAAGTCTATGACTAATTCTCTATTCAGCAAATACTTCCTGAGTTCTCCTTGGTGTCAGGTAGCTTTCTGGGGGATGGATATGAAGGGTGCATAAAATGGACAAAGTTCCTTTTGTTAAAGAGCTTACATCAAGTGGCAACATACCAGTTAAAAAATAAACAAAATCTAAATATGAAAGATGTTAGATATTAATAAATGCTAGATAAAAAGAGAAGTAAAGAGGAAGCAAAATGCTGAGGGCATTTGGAAGGGGCTGTTATTTTAAATACAGTTTTCAGGGATCGCCCATCTAAGGTTATGTATGAGGGCCTTGAAGGAAGTAAAAGATAGCCATGTAAGATCAGGGAAGGACATTCCTGTCATACAGACAGCCAACATAAAAGCCATGAGGTAGACCTTGCTTGGCATGTCTGCAGCCAAAGGAGATGGAGCAAGGGGGCGGTTGCTGCAGTTCAGTAAAGGGTAGAGAAGTGGCAGGTGGCCAGATCACATAAGGTGTTGGGGGCCATTATAAAGTTTAGGCTTTTATCTGAACCAGTAAGAAGCTAATGGAAGACACTAAGAATTAGGATACAGTCTCCTCTAAATTTAAAGAGATCACATCACCTGTTGTACTGTGGACCACAGAGACATAATTAGAGAGATCATTTTGGAGGGTCTTGAAATAATTCAAGCAAGAGATGATGGTAACTTGGTCCAAGATGGGAGCAGAGAGGGTGTTAGACATGGCTATGGTTTGAAGAAGTTGCTGCTGCCATTTGCTGATGACGTTACATGAGAGAAAGATCTGTGACAGGGAATAAATACCAAGATGTTATGCAAGAATAAAAAGGATTTGAGCAAGCACATTTGTCCCCTTTGTCGAAGATAAGGTGGGTGAGTGTGTTTGTAGTTGCTTCTGCATCTTCTAGTCTATTCCATTCATCCTCAGGTCTATTTTGTTGCTAATACCATGCTGACTTTATTACAGTATCTTTGTAGTATAATTTCAAGTCAGGAATTGTAATGCCTCCTGCCTTGTCTTTGTCGCCCAGGATTGCCTTTGCAGTTCTAGGTGTTTTCTGGTTCCAAATAAATTTTAGGAATGATTTCTCTAGGTCTGTGAGGTATGTTGGTGATATTTTGTAGTGGAAAAATATATATATATGCATATATATATATATATATATATGTATGTATATACAAAATAGGATAGATATACAGCTACTTTCTCTTAGTTCAATGAGAAGAAAAATTTGTACTGAATGTGTTTAGACAAGCTATCACATCTACATCTTGTACTATGAATAACTACTGTGAAGGCAACAATATGCAATGTATTAATTATTTTTAATAATTTTATTGAAAAACGATAGCAATGAGACAGTTTCAAAACTAATTAGTAGGACAATTTCAATAATTAATACATTGCATATTGTTGTATTCTTAGTGGTTATTTATAGTACAAGATGCAGACATGATATCCCATCCACAAATACTATTAGAACAAATCTTTCTATTCACTGAATTAAGAGAAAGTAGCTGTATATGTATCCTATTTTGAATATACAGATACAAAATGGTCCCTCATTTGTATCCCCTTTTCTTGTTTAGTTTTGTCAGAGAAGGGATGCGTGAATTCGGAAAAAATATTCCAATATAGTCCCGTAGTCCAGAATAGTAGTGGGTTATCCATAGGACTGACAATGTCAGAAGTTGTTGACTTAAGCCTTTTACAGCTCAGCATATTAATATGGTTTTACTTTTTATACTTCATTTTTATACTTTTCTGCTGGATGGTTAAGACCAATATAAAGCAAGACCTATATAATAAATGTAATTTTGTATCTGACAACATCAGTCAAATCCCCTCAGGATTTACACTGAAACCCTGTACCGCAGTGTGTAGATCTTTTGTCAGTGTCAGCCATGTGGAGGAGTCATGGCCGTTGCTTGACCAATTTGCTCTCTGAGAAAGCTTCAGAGAATGTTTTTCTCTCCATGTGACTCTCCTTAGGCACAATGTACATCATCCATCACTTTCCTCTGTGGTCCCATAATCTCCTTGATCAGAAAATTTGGGACACAACTGAGTTACTTGATGTTATAGGACAGGTTATTCTATGTCCTGAGTTCGCACTGACCTTTAAAGGCTAGGGCCAAAATGTTGTCTGTCCTTGCAGCCCTTCTTTTTCTCTAATTTTTCATCTGCAATCTTGAGTTGTTAACCCTCCAGAAGAGAAGCTTATTATCATTACCCTAGAACATAGGCATTTGAGCTTAACCATATTATCTGTCTGAATATCAGACATCTTAGACATGACATGCAACAGGTACTTTCCATCAAGTATTGATATGGTAAACTTTAAGTCCCTACAGAAAATGAAGAAAAAAAAATTATATTACTTTTATTGAGAAAGAAATACAATTAAGAGAGTTTCAAAACAATTCAAGACAAAACAAAGTAGGATAGTTACAATAATGAATACATTGCACATTATTGTCTTCATAGTACAACATGCAGATATGGTATCTTGTCTAAACACTATTAGTATAAATCTTTCTTCTCATTGAGGTTAGATATACAGCTGAGGCTAGCAGTATATCTAGCCTAATATATA